GTTTTTACTTTTCTAAATAAAGAAATAGCTAAGAGATTCTCTGTATTATGTAGGGATATTAGTTCTCTGTACTGTAAATAATCACTAGTTGATTTTTAGACTGTTCTTTAGATAAGTGGAGGGAAATTGCTGGGCTCAGGGAGTGCTAGGCAGACAGTCTTATCAACACATTAAATGGTATAATTATACATTCTGTAATGCATGTCATTATAATACTTGGGCAGGCAGAGCCTATTTTTATCCTTTTTTCTCACTCAAAAATCTTCAATTTCTAGAACAAGATGACAAATGCAATCTCTGGGAATCATTCTTCCATTATAAATATTAAGCTCACATAAACCAAACTTATTCACATCCAGCTCACATACTACATGCAAAAGTATGGTAAACATTGAGTTATTTTCCCAACTACCATTCTATTTTTTATGATTAACCTAATCCAGGTAAAGGACTGGTTTGGGGATGGGTATGAAACCCAATTCTGGCCAATGAGATAAGAAAAACTTGCTGGAGCAGTAAAAGGAGGGACCTTCTAGGAAATGTGTCCTTGCTCCCAGTAGAGAGCCTTAGGAAGAGATAGTTTCTGTTCGGCCTCTGTTATCTGGTGTGTTCTCTGAGTGTAGAACTGCAGCAGCTCCCTCGCCACACAAGAAGGAAAGCCTCACCAAGATGGTGGAGAGGAAAAATGGAAGCACTCAGGCCCTTGGTGACATCTTTAAGCCAATTATTCAAACAATTGTGAAGTCTTCTCTATTAGGACACTTGCTATTAACATTAGGTAATAAATATCCTTATTAGGCCAGATTTTTATGTTAGCAGCATCTGAAGGCACTTAAATTGCCGTATTCTGCTTAAATTCTACTGCATGGCAGGTCAATGATGAAATCGCAAATCCAGTAATAACAGAATCCTGTAGTGGACATATCTTTTTTTATCCAAACTGTTTGTTAAATTTTTATGTGCCTTTCTCTTCATACTTAGTCCATGTACTTTCAGAGACTCATCCTCACCTCTGCTTCTTTGGGGTCTATGACCGAGAAACTTGTCTTCAAAGTCTCTCAAACAACCTTGTTGCCATGACAACCATTTCAACATGAATTCATGACCCCAGTTGGGCCAATCAGTAACATCACCAGGATTCTTACAGTAGCTATTGGGTTAAGAGCATCTTTCTTGCTAGATTGGTTTGTTAGAATTTTGCTACAAACCCAGTGCAACCAAAGACCTTTTGTAATCACTTTAAAAGGCCCTAAATGAGAATGGAGTCAATTAAGAGCAAAGTAGACTTCTTTATAGCTGAGTAATACGACATTGTATAAAAACCACATCTTTTTTATCCATTCCTCAGTTGATGGGCATTTGTATTGTTTCCAAGATTTAGCTATTACAAATTGTGCTGCTATCAGCACGGGTGCACGTATATTGCTGTGGGACGATGTTTTCAGTTCTGTAAAAATAGATGCTACGTGGAACCATACTCATAAGTGAAAGAAATCAGACCCACATGTGTAAACATCATGTCGTCTCCCTAATGTAAGAACCTGAAAGACTAAATAAAATCCAAATGGTGCAATAGATATTGTGAAAGGGAAAGAAACTGCTCAAAAAGAAAGAACTGGGATTAAAGAAAGGAGAAAAGAAAGAAGGAAGGGAAATATATATATATTTAAATATATAAATATAAATACGTGTAAATATAAATACGTATATATATACACACAAGATGGCTAAAATAATTGTACTACTAATTTCTATTGGCTTATTGAAAGGAACAGTTAATGCTTAATTTTTTGACCAATTTTACATGCTTATATCTGGTGATCTGAGCAACTACTTTGAAGATAACAATATGCAATTTAAAAACTATTGTTGAATCCTATCATCTTGCTTTTTGAAATTCTGTATCATTTTTAATGTTTTTAATTATTTTTTATTCTCTTTAAAGTAAAAAGAAGAGAAAATTTAAAAATTATTAGATTTGGAAATGGTCACACACACACACACACACACACACACACACACATACACAAAAGCAATAGAAGTTCAAGAAAGTAGAAGTAGCCATAGCAGTTCAAGAAAGAGAGGGAGTCCAGGTGCCATGAGAGTGCTCTGATCTCAACTTTTTCAGACGCCCAGCTACTACACTTAGAATTTTCAGTGACATGAGCCCAAAAGATTCCTTTGGCATAAAAAAGATTGAAATAATTCCATTTGAAACAGCACTGCATTGATAGCTACCTTTTTCTGAACGCCCACCATATCTCAGTCACCTTACACGTGTTATCTCTAGGCCCACAAAGACTCTGAATGCAATTTGTAAGCACTGTACAGATTAAAAGCTGAAGCACATAGAGTTTGAGTGACGGGCTCAGGTCACACACTGTTGATGAGCAGGACGGGGATGCAATCCAGAGCTATCAGGCTCCTAGGACAGTGCTCGTTGCCTTACTCCACTTATCGCTAGCATCAGGAACATGCACATTGAATTTCAGAGAGCTCGTACTTCTTTTCTGGAAATTATTTTGCAAGTAGTAGTTTATCATTTCAGTAAAAGAAAGCTATTGCTTGAAATTTCTATTACTTCTTTCCTTATTCCCCAGTACATTGTGTACACAGATACAGCTGTTTAATAGAACAATTGCAGTTTACCACTTTTATCTTGATGATTTCTTCTCCTAGAATTTCTTGCTGTTTCTACAAGTTGAAGCCTACACACCCTTGATGGTGCAGCTCCAATTTTATTCTCTTGCTCAGCTTTTCCCAACACCTCAAGGTGAAAACGAGCTTATCTTCAAAACTCTTCCTTTACTGCATCTATACCTTTCTCTCTTACTAAAGCTGTTTAGGAACCTTTTATCCCTTAATAGAATGTAAGCACCTTAAGTAATATGTATCTAATCCAGCTTTGCATCTTCATATTACCTAGTATTGTAGGGTATTATCAATACTGAGTGCATAAGTAAATGAATGACTGAATGAATAAATGAGGAAAGGTAACTTTATTTAGTAGAAAAAAAAATCTTAATTTGTGACAATAGAATGTCAGAACCAAACCTCCACCTTCTCTTTCCCACAACCTACCTAGCCACATAGACCCCGGCAGATCATGTAAACCTACAGGTCTTGGAATTCTTTGACAACCCTATGATTTCAGTCTAACAGAATTCTCCCGAGTCATTGAAGCAGATTTGAACCCTTTCTTCAGGTGTTAGCAGCGACAGAGGTTAAGTATCTGCTTTAAGTTTATTATCTTGTTGGGCGTCATCACTGTTTGAAGAAAATGAAACCTACCACATCAGTTAATCTTATTTGCTATAACATGTTTAGCTTTTATGGGTGCTGAGCAAGGAAAAATCTTTGAACAGCCCCAATGGCAAAACGATAGTTATTTTTATTATTTCAGAATATATAACAAATATTTAAATCTAATATTAAAGAAGTTAAATAAGATTACTTTTCAACCAATATGTGTATATGCACAGGCACAATTTTATAGCATATTTATGAGTTGAATATGACATCACTCAATGTTTTTGATCCACTGGGCCTCAAATAAATTGTTCATAATTTGTCCTATTCTTTCAACCTACGGTGTATATTTCTGATGTCTGTGAATTCAGTTAAGAGTAAATTTTCTAATAAACAAAGGTTCCCAGTTATTAAGTGCATTTCATCTGTCTGACTCAAAACCCAGAGCTACATACACAGAGACATACGTCTATAGCAACACAGCCACACACGCTAAATTTGTACAAGTGCTCTTTTAAAGTAGGTAAATGGATGCAACTAGAGTTTATACTCGCAAGTGAAATAAATCAGACTCACATGTGTAAACATCATATTGTCTCCTTGGTGTAGGAACCTGAAAGAATAAGTGAAACTCAAAACATATGACAGATGATAGGAAAGGGAAAGAAATTTCTCAAAGGAAGGAATGACTGGAATGAGGGAAAGAAGAAAAAAGAAAGAAGGAAGACAAATGATAAATGTATATAGGAATAGCTGTGATACTGTATTGCTGTCTGATGGTATATTGAAAGGAACAGTTTAAGCTCAAAATTTTTTATGTTCTGATCAATTTTGCATGCTTATCTCTGGTGGTCTGAGCAACTGATTTGAAGGTAACAATATCCAATGGAATTCCCATGGTGAACTCCTACCATCTTGTGTAGTGAAACTCTGTATTATCTCTAATGCTTTATTGAAGAATTATTTTCTTATTCTCTTTAATAGTTTGAACAATCTTCCATTCCTACATCTGGTGATCTGAGCAACATAGTTGAGGATAGTGATATGTAATACAACAAACACTGTTAATTCGTATTATTTTGTCTTGAAACCCTGTATCACTTTAAATGTTCTTGCTTTGGTTTGTTTATGTTTGTGATACGGGTATGCTGCTATTGTTCTATTTTTTATTTCGTTTTGTTTGCTTGTTTCTCATTTATTACTCTCTTTAAAATTAAAGAAAGAATAAAATGCTCTAAGCAAACAGAGAGTGGTGATAAAGTGATTTGCATGGTATAATGTAACAATATTACTACCTAAACTGAAGTATCACTATCTGTTATGAAAAAAGAGAAATGGACCTCAATGTTCTAAACTATCCACATCTTAAAAACACTCATGCTTAAAAAGCTTAAAAGCAAAAAGTCTCACATCACATGTAGAAGATATCAGAGGATAAAGCACTCTGACACAACTTGATCTTATGTGATCTGCCTTCAAAAATTACCAACCTTTAGACTGTCAGAGAGGCATTTTCCCATCTATAATTACCTGTTGCCCTTTTTACTGTGTATATAATAATCACAAATACTGTACTACATTAAACAGACTTTAAAAATCATTTGTCATTTATACATTTATATGTCATATATAAGTAAAACAATAAAGAATATTTTGTATTTATGAAGTGGAAAAGGCACATACATATGCCATTCTAGTCTGATGTTGATATGATGTTTTAGTAGACTATGCAAATTTTGTAAGCTGATTACCTCATTCTTTTTATATATGACTGTCTCAGTCCATTTTTGTTGTGGTAAACAGACACCTGTAGCTGAGTGACTTATAAAGAATAGAATTTTCCTTTGCCTCAGGGTTGGAGACTACAAAATCCAAAATCATGGTTCTTGCATCTGCTTAACTTCTGCTGAGGGTCTCAGCTGGTTTCAACCGATGGCAGAAAGTGGAAGGGCAGGTGGGTGCCTGAGAAAGAAGCAAGCAGGAGGGGTAAAAAGCGTTATTTCCTCTTAACAACATTATCACTTCTTGACGGTCTCAATTCTCAGCACAACCACTTTGGCAAATAAATTTCAATGTGAGTTTTGGAGGGGACAGACCATACTGAATCCATAGCAAAACCAAAACAAAATAAAAATTAAAAACCAAGAAACAAAAACACTAGAGTTTCAAATACCTTAATCTTTATAATCAACAGATTGTGATTGCTTTTACTTTTACATATTACCAAAGCATTGTTTTGTTTTGTTTTGTTTTTGTCTTTTTGAGACAGGGTCTCACTATGCAGTTCAGGCTGGCCCTGAGCTCACTTTGTAGCCCAGGCTTGTCTTAAATGATCCTCCTGCTACAGCCTCCCAGGTGCTGGGATTACAGGCATACGCCACCACATCCGGCTACCAAAGCATTCTTATCTTTATTCTAACACTCTTGTAGCTGTGTTATATTTGTGCGTGTGCGTGTGTGTGTGTGTGTATGTGTGTGTGATGTGTGATGTGTGTGTGTGTGTGTGTGTGTGTGTGTTTTACATCCTTCCACTAGGCTGGAAACATTTCATAGCAGATAGATGATGAGCAGATAATGTATAGATAAAGATAGATAGGTAATTACAATTCTGCCCCAGGGGATTAGTCACCCCGAGGCAGATGCATGGTAAACAAGTTTAATACTTTGATAATCACAGTTAAATATTACTGTCCTAAAATAGAAAAAGCAGAAACCAAGAGATATCTAGGAGAAAGGGAAACAAATTTTTCAAAATATTAAAATGGACTCCTCACAGGATTTATTCAAATTCACATACTTTGTTTACAGTGAGCAGATAAACCAAGCGAAAGTAGAACAGGATGCCATTAGTAATTGTACTGGGATAATAGACACAAGCCAGAACTGTTTCAGGCAAAGCAGGATGTTGAGTCACTTCACCTCTCACAAACACGGATGGCAAAAAGTGCTCAGTTGATAAAACCATCGAGAAATGCTCAGAACCGGCCTAAAAGAAAATCAATTTTGTAAAATAGAAATTAGTATGATTTAGATGAATGTAAAGTATGGAAGGTTATGTTGGTACTTAAAGTCTAGGCTCTAGGGAAGATGGGCTCTCTGCGGAGGAGTGTTACTAGTTCATCTGAGCACAGAGGGAGGAGAAAGGTAGAGGGCAGGGTTAAATGTTGGGTCCCTTGGCTTTGGATCGCAAATTTTTTTTCTCCTTTGAGATAAGCATTTATAGAGGTGCAGAAGCAAAATTCCATTGCAAACTCTTAAAAATCCAAGAATCATTACAGGGAAAGAAGAGTTAACCTTGTATTTATGTTATTTCATTAATCATTTTCTTTGATTTTGCCCAATAGAAATCAGTGATATTTTTCAGGTAGTAATTATTAAACATAATGGAAACCTACTTTAATACAGAGGGTTGAGGTAGAGCCAAATGTCAATGGAATGGCTATTTGGGACATCTAAAGAACTCTTTTTGTTAGTACTTCACAAACACATTCATTCACTAGCACTATGTTACAAGCAGATGCTCTAAAATACTTGTGAGCAATGAATCCCTTTCATAGAGTTCAAGATAAGTTTAGTTTGAATTATATCCTAGGCTGACCACTGAATCAATAAGTTGTTTGTTTTTTTTTTTTACCTTTGTCTATGTTTTAAGTTTCATTTCCTCGTTCGAGGTCTAGATTTAATCTCCTGCATGTGGATAACCAGTTCTCCCAACATCATTTATCAAAGAGTCTATCTTTCTGCCAGTGTGTGTTTCTGTCCCCTTTGTCAAAGGTGAAATAGTTGAATGTGCTTGGGGTTGTTTCTGCGTCCTCTGCTCTGTTCCATTGATCCTCATGTCTGTTTTTGTGCCAGTACCATGCTTGTTTGTTTGTTTTTATCACAGTAGTTTGTAATATAGCTTCAAGTCCAAGATGGTGATGTCTCCCACTTTGCTCTTTTAATGCAGCAATTCTTTTGCTATTTTGGATATCTTCTGGTTCCATGTGAATCTTATGATTGTTGTCTCAAGTTCTAGAAGTTGAAGTTCTATGAAGTTCTATGAAGAAGTTCTATGCAGAATGCTGTTGGAATTTTGATTGGGATTCTATTGAATCTGTATATCAATTTTTGAAGTATGGCCATTTTGACTATATTAGTTCTGCCTATTTAGGAACAGAGGATGGCTTTCCATTTTCTGAAGTCCTCTTCAATTTTTCCAGAGTACTGTAGTTTTCATTGTAGAGATTTTTCACTTCCTCAGTAGGTTAAGTCCTAGTATTTATTTTTTCTTGGTGTTGTTATGAATGGTATTTCCCCCCTAATCTCTTTGTCAGTGAGTTTTCTTGTTAGTTTATAGGAATGCTATTGATTTTTGCATGCTGATTTTGTATCTTGCTATATCACTGATTTGGTTATGAGTTCTAAAAGTCTTTTGCCAAATTTTGGGGGATCTTCTATGTAGAAGATTATGTCATCTGCAAATAATGATAATTTGCTTTCTTTCTTATACATATACATTTTATTTCCTTTTCTTGCCTAATTGCTCTTGCTAATGCTTCACGTATTATGTTGAATAGGACTGATATTGTGACCATCCTGTCTTGTACCTGATTTTAGAGGGAAAACTTTTAGCTTTTCCCCATTTAATATGATGTTAACAGTAACTTTGTTATAAATAGATTTTATCAAATTGACATATTGCCCTTTATACTTATTTTCTTCAGGGTTTTTATCATGAAAGAATGTTGAATTTTGTCAGAGGCTGTTTAGGTATCTATCGAGATGTTCATGTGATTTTTGTCCTTGCTTCTATTTATGTGATGAATTACATTTATTGGTTTTTGTATGTTGAACCATTTTGTATCCCTGGGATGAAACCTACTGGGTCCTGATGTATGATCTTTCTGGTGATTCATTGCATTCTGTGCCAGTATCTTGAGAATTCTTGCATCTACAGTATGTTCATTAAAGAGATTGGTTTATGGTTCTCCTTTCTGAGTGGATCCTTGTCAGTATTGGAATCAGGGTAATGACAGCTTCCAGGAATGACTTTGGAAGTACTCCCTCCCTTTCAATTTTATTAAAAATCTTGAGGAATATTGATGTTAGAATTTCCCTGAGGTTTTTGTAGAATTTAGCAGTGAACTCTCTTGGCTTTTCTTAGCTGGCAGTTTATTTATTCTTGAGAAGTAGTGTTTCTAAACTTAGGGAGAAAGTTTAAATAGTTTATTATTGAGTATAATATTTTCTGTAGAATTCTTCTGTAGATAGTCTTCGTAAGATTATGGTATTTTTCTCTGTTCCTGGGTTGCTAAATGAGATTCTACTGTTTAATATTTGTTACTGGGTATTGAATTTATACAGTTCTTTTCTTGTATCTCTTAGGAATATCATTTATTTTACTTTTATTCTGAGTGAACTACATTAATAGAATTTATAATGTTAAATTTTCTTTGCACAAAATTAACATTGTCTGTGTTTTTTCTTTTCATATAATATCATGTTCAGGTTTTGTTAAGGTGACCTTGGTCTAACAAGGAAAGTTAGATAGTGTTCATTCTTTTCAATTTGCTGGAAGAATTTAGCAAATTTTATACTATTTCTTCCCTAAATATTTGAAGAAAAACTCTGATTAAGCCATTTGAGTTGGATATTTTGGTGCAGACCATCTTTACATACTGTTTTATTAGTTGGCATTTTATTCTTCAGGCTTCTCTTCTTGTCCCTGTTTTTTATATGGTCAATTGTTTTATGATAAGTTTTCACAAGTTACTTGGATTACTTTCTAACCACCTCTCATCTACATTTGAATGAGATTATACCATTCCGTTGAAATGTAGTTGTATCATGCATTTCTGTTAATAATTACGGGCACCTTCAATGCTATTTTTGGGATATGTGTATGTGATTTTGAGTACACGGAATGTGAACATGATTCTAAACATTAAGTGCACATAAAAAGTATTTTCAAAGAATTATTTTTTTGCATTCCTTTTATCCTCTTCCCATCCTTCTATGCCCTTAGATTTAAAAATTTTAAAATTCCCTTTATAATCACACAAAAGCAGCACAGATTTTATATATATATATATATTGGTATCAGGAATTGAACTCAGGACCTTGTGCTTACCAGGCAGGCGCTGTGCCACTGAGCTATATCTCCAGCCTTAATACTTTTTTTCACTTTCATCCTTTCAATTAATAATATATTCCAAAAATAATATCATTTCAGTTGATAGAAATCTCCCTCTTTCTTTTCTATAGCAACAAAGAGTCCGATTTGTGTATATAACAAGTTTATTTAACCACTTCCTATGTGTGAACATTTTGTTTGTTTCAAATTTTTGAAATTATGAACAATGTTGAAATGTGTTTGGTATTGTAGAAAATGAAGTCTAGGAGTAGTTTTCTTGAAATAGGATTTTTTAAGTCAAAAGGTAAATTTATATGTAGGTTCATTGTATGTTTCTACATTTCCCTCTAAAAATATGGTATCTGTTTATATTTCTACCAAAAATATATCAATATAACTGTTTTTTCAAGTCTTGTCAATAGAATATGTTACAATACTTTGTCACTAGTCAACCACACAGATAATAAATGCTATATCTTTGTGACTTTTTAATTTGAATGATTTTCAAAATTATGAACAAGATTGAATGTCTTTTGACATGTTTAAGAGGGCTAGATATAAATTTATATATAATATTCTATATGGCATATGTAAATAATTGTATGTAATAGCATTTTCATTAAACAAGTTTTACATTACATAAAGGTTACATTCTTTGTAGGGGGTTGGTACATGTATACAACACACCTTAATTCTTTTTTTACTTCCCATTCTCCTCCCAGCCTCTGTCCCTACCTGCATCTCTTGGTTCCCTTCCCATTTGCAAAAGATCTATCTTCCTGTTTCCTATTATCTGTCTTATATTTTGCTCTTTAAATTATTTATATATT